TGTTCCAACAAAACAACGACCCCAAACACACCAGTAAAAGTGCAACATCTTGGTTCCAGACCAACAAGATTGATGTTATGGAGTGGCCAGCCCAATCCCCGGATCTTAATCCAATAGAAAACTTGTGGGGTGACATCAAAAAATGCAGTTTCTGAGGCAAAACCAAGAAATAGAGAAGAACTGTGGAATGTAGTCCAATCATCCTGGGCTGGAATACCTGTTCACAGGTGCCAGAAGTTGGTTGACTCCATGCAACCCAGATGTACAGCTGTTCTCAGAAACAGTGCTTATACAACAAAATATTCATTAAGTGATTCAAAGGAAAGCAAAATCTTCAAACATTTTTCAGTTTATATAGTGAATGTTTGAATTTGTAAAGAAGAATACAAACACTGCTATTTTTTTTGAACAGTCTAATATTCAATTTTCTTCAAATTTTTTAGAGGAACAACACAAATGTGATATATTTTTCTTCATGTTTTGATTTGGAATAGAATGTGTAGTGTTCCCAATGCATTTGTGTGTATGGAAATAAAAACTATTAGAAGGATTTTGAGCTTTATTCACTTTTTTCAACACACTGCTATTATTTTGAACACAACTGTATATATATAAAATAGTTAGATAATATTATATATATATATCTCTAAGAGATGGAAAATATGGATACAATATATATCTTATCAGATTATGCATATGTTATTAATTAACAATCAGACATGGTGCTCTTACAGTTTGTATCTGAGCAGCATCAGTGGCAAGCCGGGTTGTTAAAGCTCCTGTGCTATTTTTCTTGTCATCAAACCAGGATATTTCCTTTGAAGTGGAAAAAGGATGATAGTATATATTATATACCTATATGAACCAATAGTTGTCATGTACAGATAAAGCTTTTTTTAGTTCTACACTAACCTGCCGTAACATTGCTTTGAATGCCATCTGTCTCAGACGCATAGTGAGGACTTCCCCTGATCTTCCAAACATAAATCCCTGGCAATACAGATGGATATAGAAAATGTAATAGGAAAGGAAATATTAAATATGAAGTAAATGAATTTAACAAACATCTCCTCTACCCACTTTCATATCATAGGTATTAATAGGAGAGTGTGTGTATTTAAACTTGTTCCAGTCACTCCTAACCTCTAGCTCATCTCTCGTTCATCAAACAATTCTGTCACTCCCACTGCCAGCTTAAAATTGTGTTTCTGAAAAGTGTTCATTTTTACATTTTATTTTAAATTACAAGAATACAAGCAATAAAGCATAGCACATATGCACATCACACACATACTCAGCACAATACCAACACTTTCCCTCTATCTACTGTAAATATGGTAAAAGAGCAAATTCTTATCTATAGAGATAAGCAATGCAACCTGATGGGAGTAAAGTCCCACCAGAATTAGAGTCAATCCTACCCACTAGCTGTTGACAACAGCAGATGGAAGAGAGCTTATAGCAACAGATGACAATACAACTTAAGATAGAGTCTGCTGGCTGGGGATCCCTCACATTGGTCAACCAGAACTGGCAATTTTATTAGAATTTTTGGGGACAGGCTTCTCTATTACTGTATATGTAATGTTAAGCTTGGTAACAGCACAGTGGTTAACACTTCCACTGTCACAAACCTGTGATAGTGAGCCCTTGTAGACCACCATCTCAGGGTTCCCCAGGGCGTGGACTCTAAGCCCCAGCCTGCTTCTTCACCAGAGCCCCTGATGGTGGGGATGGACTTGCAGCAAACTGGGACCAGGTTGCGGCCCCCGGGTAAGCCCAGCTGAGGATGAGGAGACAGCTTGCAGGAGCAGGAGTACAATGGGAGGAGACAAACGGAAATCCAATAGACTAGCCAAGGTCAGGACAGGCAGAAAACAAGCACAGTCAGAGATCGAAGCTGGGGTCAGTACACAAGTAGTCAATGCAGGATACAGGCAATAGCAACACACAGGAGCTCCGACTACTAGGAAGTTGCTCATATATAAGACTGAGCATGTCTTATATAGGCAGGCAAACAAGGAGGCGGGCCAGGAAGTGATGGAATGGAAGGAAATAAAACCCAGAGAACCTCAGACAACGCCCATAGGTGAGCACAGACAAACACACATGTAAAAGGAATCAGAAACAGCACTGCAGCAAGGAGGTAAGAACACAAACAAGAAACTGCAGGCTAGCTTGTGACATCCACCTGGCAGCACTAGGGTGGTCAGTTTGAATCCCAACCACAGTACTACCTGCCTGGAGTTTGCATGTTCTCCCTGTGCCTGTGTGGGTTTCCTCCCATACTCCAAAGACATAATGGCAGGTTAATTGGCTCCTGTCTAAACGGGTCCTAATATGTGTGAATGTGACTTAGGGACCTTAGATTATAAGCTCTGGAAGGGCAGGGACTGATGTGAATGTATGATATATGTGTAAAGCGCTGCATAAATTGTCAGCTCTATATGAGTACCTCTAATAAATAAATAATAATTCCAACATTCTGGGCCAGTTTGAGATTTTAGCTGTTGCATATAAATCCATATTACTTACATTTCAAGAATTTGTCAACCTTTTCTCTTTCTGAGAGATCAACACCCTCATTTGGGGTGGAGGTGAATACCCCCTTATACAGCATACACCAGTCAATACTATGTCTGTTACATAAAACAACCCTACTTGGTGGAGGAGGAAGTGAGGTCATTGTGGTGTTACAACCTCCTATACTGGAGAATTACATGCCATGAAAGACGTGTGGAGTTTTTTTTAATTCCTCTCCATTTCAGAATCATCCATCCTGTATAAATCAACCCTCACTAAAACTGCACAAAACAAATCCTAAACATTGACTCATATTTTTCACATATGCTTCCGATGATAAAAGCATTTACCTGTGTAAAGTACGTAAAGAAGGATGCCACACCAATCATAGTAATTATGATGGAGTAGATGTCAATTTCATGCTGAATCAGTGCAGGATCATTAGTTCCAAATATCTGGAAATATCCCAAAGTTAAAATAGTTAATATACAGTAGAATCTGTATGGATATAATGAAATGTATGTCAACAAAAATTAGATAACCCACTGCTAAAAAGAGAAATTACAGTTACTAAATTAACTCACTCATATGATAATTCTAAAATCATTTCCAGGCATGCTTTGTTAAAAAAATGTAAGGAAAGAGATATCTTGCTATAATTATCTATGATAGTTTTGGCTTCAATATTCTTTGATGTAAAAATACTTACCGCTATGAATTTTGCAAATATAATGCTGAAACCTGGATGGGCTGCTCCATTTATGATTGCTGCAAGGGTTCCAAACAAGATATAAGGCCACTCTGATTTATTCAATTTAAGTAGTCTAAAAAATGAAATTTCTGGAAGCTTTTCCTGGAAGAAAAAGGAAAAAAGCAAAAAATAAACAAGAAGCATAGCATTTATGATTAGAACTATAGTCTGGCAGAGTTGGTTTCCTAGGTTTAATTACCACCAACAACACCAGTGCATAAGATTTTACTTTAACCTTCTTCATATTTGGATAGATTTTATATCCCAAAGGATAACAAAAAACTGATCAGCCAAAAGAATTCACCCCAAAATTCAGTATGTTTACATAAGAATGTGTATGGAGAAGAAAAGTTAGCCTGTAGACTTATGCCAGCAACAGGGACTGACGTCAATACCTCTATACACTCAGCGGGAAAATCCAGCTCTGTATGACTGTGTACAATAAAGTGTACTTTTACTGACTTTTTACCTCAATCCCCCAGCAACTAGTGCTTTCCTCTTTTCTCTCAGGCTCCGGGTTGGGCGGCCCGTCAATACCCTCATTTACAAAGGACTTCTTGTCTTGCATTGTACTGGATGATGTCAGCATGATGACATGATTCAACAGAACAACTGAAGTAGAAGAAGATTGAATAAAACTGAAGAAGCGAAGCCGCTTTAGATAATGTGCAAGTGGTAGGAACCTTGCAGGAGCGAGGGATACGGGAAATAAAACTCCAATTAATCTACTGTAAATCTAATGCTCCACCTGGAAACTCAGAATGGAGATAAAGTATGAAATTGTAGTTCCTGACCTTCCATCATCCAAAATGAGATGGCATCTAAGGATAATGTTGAGCCAGACATGACTTCATAATTAAACTAAAAGGCCAACTTCAGACAAAAAAATTAGTTTGGAAAAGAGCAGGTAAAATATTAAACATCTTCCAGTTTTTATTGTTTTTGCTGCTTGTGTCCCTACTGAGGTGATTTTCTTAATTTATGTTCCTGATAGACATAGGAAATAATTCCAATCAATACACAAACAGCACTATAATCTCTTTTTTTAAGTTGGTAGGAGAAAAGTTAGAACTCCTGCTAGGAGTTTTTTTGTTGAGAGTTATGTCATTCTTTAAACCTAAAAATACATTTAGACATCAGTTTCCATCATGGAAAGTATTAGTTATACAATGGATGGCAAAATAAAGTGTACTTTAAATTTCTATGTAAAAAACTCATATTACCTTTTTTTCATCCTCTGCAAATTCATCTTCTTCCCCTTGTTCAGACATGGAGAATTTTCCAGTTGACATATTGGAGTTTATCCTCTGTACTAAAGATGGCTTTTCCAGTGTCCCTTGTCCTGTTTCACTTTCCACTGTCATCTGTATGGCCTAAAAAATATTCACAGAAATGGAGAGTTTATTATTACTTGTAAGATCTCAATAGAAAATATCTGAAAACGTTATATCATGTGAAAGAAGGTGTTGCCCAATATTTGGACTGAGATTCCTGTTCTAGCAATTCACAGTACCTGAGCTGTTGCAAGAGAATGATATAATCCTTTCTTCTCCATTAATTCAGAATGAGTTCCCTTTTCAGCTAAAGCACCATTCTCCAACACTACAATAAGATCTGCTGTCCACACAGTGCTCAAACGATGGGCAATGACAATTGTGGTACGACCCTCACTGGCCTGAAAGAGATCATTACAATTTTTGACTTACCACCCATAAGATATCTGCAGCTACTGTAAAGAATGATTGATGTGACTTTGTAGAAGATCACAGTGACATCGCTGGAAAACTACCTTGTCTAAGGCAGCTTGTACAACTGATTCACTCTCAGTATCCAGAGCTGAAGTAGCCTCATCCAGTAAGAGTATCTTGGGATTTCGGACCAAGGCTCTAGCTATAGCTATTCTTTGCTTTTGTCCACCACTAAGCTGGGCTCCTCTTTCTCCTACTAAGGTTTCAAATTTCTAAAAAAAAGGAAAGAAATAGCATTACATTGTTTTTAATATTTCCATTATGATGTGCAACTGCAAAAAAAAAAAACTGTTGAATGTATCGATATATATGTTTAATCTCCCCATTGCAAATGAGAGAATGAAAACATAACAAAAAAACTTAAAAAACTCTTTTGTCCCATATTCAGGGACTTTTCAGGTACCCTAAAGTACATGCAAAGATACAAAAAGATGGGCAGCACTCCTGCTTGATCTTTGCTTCATTTTTCATAAATCCGCACCAATGCTCCTTATTTATCACAACAGGGTTGATTTCCTAAAGGTGTAGAGAGTGTATGCCTAGAAAACTGAACATTCACTTTGCTTAGAAAATAAGGAGAAGCTGGGTTCATGTCAACCATTCAGTCACATGCAAGCAAAAGCTTATTTTATCATTTATTTTACACAAGACTGGGTGGCCAAACAGAACACAGTTGTTCCTTATTTACTAAGCTAAGTGAGCATATATTTTGCAGTAAACAATCTACATCTTTAGGAAATGATTCCCAGAGTTTGATTGAAGAATTATCTCTTGACCATAGCTCCATATAAGCATTTTCCTTAAAGGTCAGCTTTACTTTCGTGGGAGAAAAAAGAAATTGAAAAAAAAAAAAATATAATGTATACAATTGTGACACAAGTCATATTGTAATGAAATGCTATTAAAATTTAACTTTCCTTTTCAATCTGCAGCTCTGCAATTTTATGTAAAATGCAATGCAATATGGGTATAAGGGGGTGTTCTGTACACAGATGGTGTATAGAACGCCTCCCAGAAATGTCATTTGCAGCTTGTGTGATTTAATTACTGATTTTCCCAGAAGTCTGCACTAAGGTATAAGCCAAATTTTGGGCTTTCCCTGCAACAAAATATCCTTTTTGGTGTGATGCTCCCACAGGGAAAACACGTAGAAAGGGATGCAGACAATTTTCCTCATTAGAGCCCTGCAGATGCAGCAGCTGGCTCCCAGACAGATTTATTTTCCACATAGACACAGAAAAACAAACAGCTATTTCTTCAGAATAACAACAGGAAGGAATCTGCAATAAAGTTTGTACAATGTACATAAATCACCCAGAGGGTAATGTTTTTTTTCTCAACAAAAGTAGAGTTACCCTTTAAATTCCCATAGACTGAAAGGAGTCATTGATTTTGTTTATATATTAGTAATATAGCTTAAAGGTATATCCCAGCCCAGGTGTACAGTTAAGGAATAGGAAGATAACTACTCATCTTCAATGAAGGCTTTGGAGAGTGACATCTGCTATGAACCTCACCGATAGTGTTGGTTCCAAACTCAGTTTTTATGACTATCATCCTCTAGAATTTTAGCAATAACCCCATAATCACAAGCAATATTTGTGTTCAATAGAATGTCTTGCTTCTATAGATATATTTATGGCCAGCCTTTGTTGAGAGACTGCCTATAAAACAAGTTTTACATTAGCAAATCTTGTTTTAGTCTGCAGATACATACATCAGGAAGCTCCATAATGAAGTTATAGGCATTGGCTTCTTTAGCTGCCCTCTCAATTTCTTCATCTTTCACATCTAACCTTCCATACTTAATGTTGTTTTTAATTGTTGTTCCAAAAAGTATAGGCTCTTGGCTGACCACACCGATTAATTCTCTGTATTGTCTGATATTGAGAGATCGTATATCATGGCCATCAACCAAAATCTGATGAAAAAAAGACAAGATAAAAGACATTAGCCGGGAAAAAAATGCACTTCTGCACAAGTAATCCATAATGAGTACCATTTAAATAATGGTCTATATTATTCACCCAATATGATACATAAAATACACAATATTTACTTGATGGAAAAGAACCTCTATCAACTCTTAACTTAACAGGTGAGAAATGTCACATATAACAGGAAGTGAGGAACCCCAAATGTAGTTCTAACCACAAAAGGGTTTTTTTTGGCCAAAATTCATTTTCTGCTTCAAGGTAAAAAACCTTCCACTAGCTATTCACCCCATCCCTAAACACTTACTTGAGCTCTCTATCAATCTAGTTTTGTGCCTGGCTGTAGGTCTTCTCTTCCTCTTCTCACAGGCTTCATTGAGAACAGCGGGAACCATGAGTTCCTACTGCTGTCAGTCAAATCCTGTGAGGTGGGACCAAGGGATGAGGCTGAGCATGCCCACTTGGAAGTGTGCACGCATGAGAGCCCTCCCAGCGGTTTGCTATTGGGGCTCTCAGAGAAGAGGAGGAGTGACAGCACTTGTGGAGAACCGAAAAAAAAAAGAGGTAATGGGCCGCTCTTTATACAAGTACAACATGTTTGGTTTTTTTTTTTTTTTAAGTAAAAAAAAAAAAAGTTGAGACTTAATATCACTTTAAAGCTGAAGTATGGGTAGACATATTTTGTTATAGTTACAATGCTCCAACTGGAACCAATGTAAGAATGTTTGTCTGAAAGATCACAATGGAAGCTGGAAGCCAATCTAGTAGACACTAGTTGCTACTACAGTGATGGCTGCTAGCTTTCGGGTTCTATGCCAAGTGTCTCTCCTCTCTACCTAGTCCAATCAGAGAATGCTTTGCATTCATTGAGAAAAGTAAAGTGTTCTCTGAATGAAAGGTGAATAAGCTGGTTCAAGTGTGTGAGCTTAGGAAGATGTCATTTTGCCCAGAGCTGTTGAGCTTTACACTTGGTAAAATATTCGCTAATACAGATAAGGTTCCTTTTTGAATGGATAAAAGATAATCACCTCTCCATCTTGCGGATCATACAGTCTCTGCAGCAGCTGCACCGTCGTACTTTTACCACACCCACTTTGTCCTACCAGTGCCACTGTCTGACCAGATTTCACCGTCAGGTTGAATCCTTTCAGTACCTTCAAAGAATAGAAGTGAAAATTATAAGCATTTTCCCCTTACTTTATGATCATATGAGACTCATGAAACTTTAGATTGCATGAAACTTTAGATGGCAGACCCCACATATGGCTCACTATGGGCATGTTCTATTATTTTTACTATACTAAAGGTTTTGAAGAGATGGCATCTCTCCAGCATAAAACATATAGTTCTGGGGTCCTGAGATAAATGTTCCTAAGGATATAATTCAAGGGGCAGTGTGCTATTATCTCACGGGCATTTCAAAAAGTAATAATTAAAATTAATGTTTTAAGATCTTGTTTTATACATTGTGGTATATATGTATAATTGACTGAGTTTTTATCCTGTTATCATTTTCATGGTCTCTCCTGTTCCTTTGGAACTACTCAATGAAAGGTTGGTTGCAGGAGAGCAATGCAGAAGGATATTAAACTTATAAAATTCTCTGAACTGTAGAGGAAAGGGAGCTGGCATCTGCCACCATCTCAGAACTGCAATCTTTGGAAGCACTAAGTTATAGAAGAAGTCTAAATGCCCAGGAGAGAAAACAGTGTCTGAGCACTAGGAATTTTTTAAGAGCTTTCAAATTGTACACTCACTGGCACTGGTACACCTGTTCAATTGCTTGGTAACACCAATTGCTAATCGGCCAATCACATGGCAGCAACTCAATGCATTTAGGCATGTAGACGTGGTAAAGGCAACTTGCTGAAGTTAATACTGAGCATCAGAATGGGGAAGAAAGTTGATTTAAGTGACTTTGAATGTGTTGGTGCCAGGTGGGCTGGTCTGAGTATTTCAAAAACTGCTGATCGCCTGGGATTTTCACGCACAACCATCTCTAGGGTTTACAGAGAATGGTCTGAAAAAGAGAACATTTCCATTGAATGGCAGTTGTGTGGACAAAAATACCTTGTTGATGTCAGAGGAGAATGGGCAGACTGGTTCGAGATGATAGAAAGGCAACAGTAACCCAGATAACCACTCGTTACAACCAAGGTATGCAGAATACCATCTCTGAATGCACAACAAGTCTAACTTTGAAGGAGATGGGCTACAGAAGCAGAAGACCACACTGGGTGCCACTCCTTTCAGCTAAGAACAGAAAACGGAGGCTACAATTTGCACAGGCTCACCAAAATTGGACAATAGAAGATTGGAAAAACATTGTCTGGTCTGATGAGTCTCGATTTCAGCTGTGACATTCAGATGGTAGGGTCAGAATTTTGTGTAAAAAACTTGAAAGCATGGATCCATGCTGCCTTGTATCAACAGTCCATGGATGTGCAGGCGACAAATCTGCAGCAAGTGATTGATGCTATCATGTCAATATGGACAAAAATCTCTGAGGAATGTTTCCAATGCCTTGTTGAATCTATGCCACAAAGAATTAAGGCAGTCCTGAAGGCAAAAGGGAGTCCAACCCGGTACTAGCAAGGTGTACTCAATAAAGTGGCCAGTGAATTGTACGTAGCCAAGACTTTTTATGCAAACTTTGTTGTGTCTTAACTAAAGCATCTATAAACCTTATAAAGTTGAACAATTGAACAGATCAGTGATAGGATCAACATCTATTCAGCTAGTTGTGTAGCCAATACTTGCCTATAAAGACACATTATTTTGTTCATTGCTTTGCATGTATAGGTAGGGAGGTTATGAATTTACTAAACAGATTTGTATTATGTTGCGTAAAGATACTTTCTTTGCCTAACTCAAGAAGATTTGATTTATAGTTATTATTGGTGGTGTGCTATGGGTCCCACTACATTTGTCCCCTTCATAAGAACAGGACAGGCACAATGTTCTCAAGTTTAATTATATAAAAAAAAAAAAAAAAGAGCCAACCAACAGCTGCCCAGAGCAGTACTATCATAATGAGACATGTCCAAGGAACACTTTGGCTTAAATATCCCTACCTGAACAGTCATCCGTGATGGATAGGAGAAATGCACATTTCTAAATTCTATGTTTCCTTTTATATTGTCCGGCTTGTATCCTTCACTTGAAAAGCTGTTAATTTGGGATGGCTAGAATTATAATAAGGATAATATATTTTTATTACTGAAAAGTCTGAAAACTCCAGTCTGAATATTGATGTGTACTGTAACTATTACATAAAGCTTTCTTCAAATGTCTCTCAGCTCATAAAGCTCTAAAACCACCCTTTAACTCCAGTTTAGAAGTGTTGAATTCAGACCTTAAAGGGAGTGTTGGCTACGAGTAACTCAACTTTAGTTGAAAAAACATTCCCCTCAGGTTATCAATACATTGCATGGATTTTAACAAACTTTGTAGCAGATTCCTACCTGCTTCTTCTATGAAGAAAATGCTTTTATTTCATTATATCAATACTGTATGCAGAGTGAATCCGAATGAGAGTGACTTTTTAGTTTTTAATCAGCTGATGCACTTGCAGTGTTCTAATGAGGTAAATAGTAGAGTCTACATCTCATTAGAAATGATTAACCCTTTGGGAGTATCTCACTGAATTTTTTGTTGCAGGGGATGCCTAAACTTTGACCTGTATCTTAGTGCAGACTGGAAAAATAAGTGAGCTATTCACACAAGAAGTAAATTACATTTCTGGAGGCATTCCATATACAGTACCAGCTGTGTACAAAAAGCCTCCAGGTTGCCATATTGCATTTATTTTTACAGAAAATTACAATGCTGCAGATTAACATCCAGTTACAATGTGACTTTTTTAATGATTTGTTTCCCCATGAATGTGGATTTACTCTTTAAACAAGCTTTTTGAGGGCTTTCAGCAATGTGCAAGCTATTCTAAAGTTTGCTTAAAGCCCAGTAATGCTTGTTTGAAGCCACAATCAGAACCTAATCCATATTTAGCACTCGCATACTGGAGCTGGTGGGAACTTTAAGGGATTTAAAGCAGAGCTCCACCCAAAAGAGGAAGTCCCCCGATCCCAGTAAAGGATTGCCACCTTTGGGGAGTGGGGAGGTACCCGAATTTGACAGGTATCCGCTCCCACTTCCGCTGTGATCGCCTAGGTGATTGGAAGTAGAAGTTGTCCCCCCCCCCCTCCCTCCCCGTAGTTTTTTGGTACAGGTGACAGGTCCCAGAAGACTATGGGACCATTCACAAAGCACAGCACTACTCGCTCATGTGCAATGGGCACTCGGCTGTGAAGCCACAAGCTGTCACAGCCGGGTGTTCAGGAGACAGAGCCGAGGACACAGGACGGTCGGTCAACCCAGCCGGTGTGAGGATACCATGGGATCAAGGGACATGTGAGTGTCTGCTTTTTAAAAGTTAGCAGCTAGAGTTTTTGTAGCGGCTGACTTTTATTTTTTTTTAATTCTCACTGGACCTCCGTTTTAAGAAAGCTGCTCCAATGTTGCTGAATGCTCAGTAAATACTTATTGTATATTATACTGTTCAAACTAGATTTTACAAGTTAAAGCCCTTGTGAAAGGTTCAGCCTTAGATAATAAAAAGTCATTTTTAAAGGTTAATTCTAAAGTGTAGTTACTCATCATAACAACTGATTTCAACCGAGCTTAATCTGATTGGATGCTAAGGGTTACTGTCTCCTGTTCATGTGTTGATTGACAGTTGCTCAGTGAAGCATAACACAGCAGCAATGCCTGGATTTTGTGGTATTTGACATCACTAGTGTGTCTGTTACAACAAATAACACATCTGCTAGTACATAGCAGAGAGTGCATTGTCAGAGCAGTAGAAGAGGTAATTACTGTTGTTTTTGTGTGTATACAAATGCAAGAGTTTGTAATGTTTAAAGTGACCCTGTCACCACAAGGTTGTTTGTATAAAAAAAAAAAAAAAAAGGTAGGGGTATGAAGAATATACTTACCTTTAGAATACCAGTTTTTCCCACTGTATGCTTGAAACGTAGGTATTTTCACTCTTCTTTTACATTTTAAATTTTTAGTTTTGTAAGGCTGGGTCATTTGGTCATTTGTAAGTTTTATTTACAAGGCTATAATGTTTCAGAAGCAACCCTGTGCTTAAAGGCTAATTTTAATGAGGTCCACTCCCCTATTGGGATGGAACATGGTGTCATCATTAACAACGTCATCTATGTTTTCCAGGTTCCTCATTGAAGCAACCTATAGGTAGTGTCTTGGCTTCTATATAAAAAACATCACCAACTGAACCTAATGGCAGCCCTGGAGCAGCAGAGGGCACAACTCCCACCCTCTCTATGTCATTCTTCATGTGTTAATATTGTTCTTGGGGTGGGTCGTCCTGCATTGTGCTTAAAGAACAAAGGTAAATTTATTAAACGTGTTATTCTTTGAATGGTTGGCTTTTAAGGCTAGGGTATTTGGTCATTTGTAAGTTTTATTTACAAGGCTATAATGTTGATTTTAAATAATTTGTTACAAATTGTAATAAACACTACCGCTTTTTAATCCATTAAACTATTGTTTTATTTATTATACTTTATAATAATTTGTAAAGTTTATATTTTGACTCCCGTGTCCTCCATAATTTACTTTAAAGAAGATCTATCATTTTACAGTTCTGTTCTACTTTGTCCCATGTTGTTAGGCATTTCTAACCTCAGCTATGAGGGTCAACCTGCCACCCTCCCCTCTTGCAGTAGCCAATTCAAAAACTGTTATGAAGGAAATGGCTGCTTCATAACAGTAGTGTGTCTTGGCTGTGAGCACTTTCCCAAGACAAACATCAGCAAGAGGAGTATTGAGGGAGGTTGAAGTCTCAGCATCTGCATTCCTTTTTCCACTGTTAGTCTTGGGAAAGTGTTTACCTGATGACGAGATCCTGGGGCATGGTGAGTACTCCAAACCCAGTGCCAGGACAAGGTCATCCAGCGCCAAGTGCAAAGATGCCAAACTGCACCCCTCTTCATGATGTGCAACTTTAGGGGATCCAGCAGTCATTCGCTTATCAAAATCACTGCTACTGTCAATACTCAGTCAGTCTTTTAACAGAAGGAAGGCTCCCTCATCCCTACAGTAAACCATTGCGCGCAGGGCAGCCACTCCTCCTGCCCACCCCTTGTTCTGGTCCCACCCAAACCTCACAAAATGATGCTCAAGCACAGTGCTAGTGGTGTCTTTTCAGTGAGATTTGGAGTACTCTACATTCCCCAGGATCTTGCTGCAAGAAGGATGATGTCACTCTCACCTAGGTGCCACAGGCAAAAGCCAAGAAAAGGTAAATATACTATATACATTCCCCATCCTCGCAGTTTTAAAAAAAATATATTTTCTGCTGTTTTTTCTGCAAAGTGGGGGGGGGGGGGGGCTCACTTAAATAGCAGACTATGCATTTTTGTTGCAAGGGCTGTTCAAACATACCCTTTACAGATAGGGCTTTTATTTCTCAAAAATTACTAAAGGTGATATGTTATAGTGTACTTGTAGGTACAAATATTAATTAGTGTAAGTATTCTTTCATTATCCATAACTGATTTTTATTGTAAAAGTAAGCAGATGTTCAGAAGCAGTTTTCCTTTTTAGGGGCTCTGCACTGGAAACACTAATCTGATTTTTTTTCATAAAGTTTTATTTTTTCAGTGTATAATGCTGAGTCTCCCACCTGATCAATGATGTTGAAGATGTTATAAGCAGCACCTCTTCCCACAGAAAAAGCTTCAAGATGAGAAGCTGCCTGACCAAGGCAATAGCTGCTGAAGACCACACTGAAGAAGACCTGTAAATAAAATAGGCAATTATAAAATAAAATAATTTACAATTGTACATTATATTTCTCTGCTATTTACAATTGTCAATGCACATAAATGTGTACATATAAGATAACTATCCAATCCAATTATTTTATAAAACTTGTGGTTCTATTTTACATATTTTCTAGCTTACTATATCTCCTTTCCTACAAAAACAGTTTTTACCGTACATTTATGTTCATTTACGTTTAAAAGCTAGAGGCGAATTTTACACAGAGAACTGAATGAGTGTGACTTATTCCCATCTCTGCCCCTTTTCTTCATTCCTCATGCTTTCAGTAGATGACTGATATATTGTTTCAAAAGGAGAAACAGCTTCTGCTGTGCTCTCTTTTCAGAAAACTCATAGTGCTCTTTAAATTATGTTTTAGGTTGCACCCTGTATTAAATATTTGTTTAAACATTTTATCTAAATAAAAAACAAACAAATATAAAACCACATAAAGGTTCTAAAAAAAATCTTCAAAACAATTATAGATTTCCTAAAGTCAAAATGTAGAACTTACCAACATAATTCTACCAACTGTATATTCATTTTCACTCAATACCAGCGTTGTTCCATACCAAAATCCAAGGGCATAGGAAGCATAGATGATAAAGTACATAATTCCAACAGCCAACTGGGAAGTGATAGCCTTTTTTATGCCAAGTTTTTTAGCTTCTCCCAAGTTATTTGTGTACCTGAATATAGAAAATAATACACTGAAGGAAAAGTAGGTACCCATTTATTTGGGATACACATGAACATCTACTATATATTTGTAAAACTAATTGTATGTTTATTTATAAAAGATGGTGATAAAAACCTTTTTATTTCTTTCTCCTGTCCTCCAAATGCCACCACTGTCCGTATGGAGGAGAGGACCTCTTCAGCCACAGCTCCAGCCTTTGCATATGCTGTAAGCTCCTTGCTTGTCAGTGATACCAGCATCTAAGGAATTGCAGGAAGTCAGTAGGCAGCTAAGGTTTAAAGGGAATCTACAATGAGAGAATGATGGGCTGCCATTGCTGATACTTTAGCTTCAATACTGACTGACTGGTTGACTCTGAACAGGTTTAGAGATAAGGAATTCTGACACTTATTTACAGAATTCATGTTCCAGGTGTTTTGTGATTTTCCCTGGCAATTTCAGAAGCCACCAATGGCAGTCACTATACTTCTCTCATGCCAATATCAAAAATACCCTATCACCTTAAAAAAACATGAAAAGTGTTAAAGTGGCCCTAAA